ATGTAGCTGCCATCACCAGTGTGTGAATGTGAGTGTGAATGGGTGAATGACTGAATGTAGAGTAAAGCGCTTTGGGGTCCTTAGGGACTGAGTAAAGCGCTATACAAATGCAGGCCATTTACCATTTACCATGCCATTTACTTAGCCTTGCAGGGTGAAGGACACTGTCTCAGCTGAACTCTGGACACACACATACACTTACACTGATATGCACACACTCATCCCCCCTCCCTTTCCAAACGCCTTCGACGCTTATTCCCTTCCGATGCTGACGGTGGATCAAGGAGACCAGTGCACGCAGGCCCGGATGTACTGTCTACATCGGTCTGTCTAAAAATGGCAAAAAAACATAAAAATAATAAAAATTACAGATCTGTTGGTGGCCACTTTTGGCCACGAACAAGCTGAAAGGGTCGTGATTTTGAACAAGCCCAGAGGTTTAAAAATGTTATTGTTTGGCTTCTTTCAGTGTTTTGTTTCTGAATAAATCTGTTTGGCTGAGATTAAAGTTCTAGTTTTCACACAGCTGAATAAACGTCAAACAGAAAACTGATTAAACAGAAGTGTGAGACGGTCGAGAGTTTCCTCCAGTGTCCTGTTAGATTTTAGACAGCAAAGAGCAGACGGCCGAGTTTATTAAACTCCACAGAGACAGCGGCGACGCAGATCTGAAGGCCAGACCGTCACATTTCACAGCCTCGCACTTCCGGCCTTCTCGGCCTTCGGAGGACCCGGCCCACGTAGACCGAGAAGGCCGGGTCCTCAGGAGGATGGGGCCTCTGAATTGGGACACAGCTAATGTCTCTGGACTGAACCATTAATGAAGCTGTGATGTCATTTTTTGGGGGGGGACTTTATTTTTAAATAACAGTCCACATTCATTCCAAGATGGCTGCCAAATGGCGGGGCTTTAGAGTTGGATGCTGGTGAACAGTTAAACCTCAGTGTGCAGCTAAAGATGAATGACACTGAACCTTTAGCAAACTCCTTACTGGTATTTTCATTTATGAGAGTTTGTAAATAACAATTAAACAGGAAGTCCTGGACCAGAGGAGATTCTGGAGAAACAGAGACATGAAACAATGGTTCTGACATTCCTCCCAGTCGAACCCACAGCTCTTATACAGAGTTGGTCTTGGTTTTAACCAGCTGCAAGACCAGAGTCTGGAGCTCCTTCAGCTCTGCTCGCAAGGCCTGAAGCTCCTGGTTCTGCTTCTGTAGGATTTGGCTACATTTGTCTTTGTTGTCCTGGTTCTGTTTATCATGGTCCTCTTGAAGACCCTGGCTCTGCTGGCACTTATTCCTCTGGGTCTCCTGCTGGTTCTGCTGGTCCTGGTCCATCTGGACTCTGAATGAGAGTCCACATTAGAGAAGCTGAATGAAGAAGAATTGTGTGTCAGTAGTGATGGTGTTCTGCTAATCTCACCGTGGACCTCCTGTGGTCTCCGCCTCCCGCTGCAGGACCAAGAACTGGTCTAGAACCTCCTGCAGACACACAGATACCATGAGAACCTGAAGCACAGGACTTTAGATCAGAATTTGTTCTTCAGAAACGCACTTTGATCTGCACTGTAATTCGTCCCATCTCATCATGGTAATGCAAGTTTGTTGTGTTGCCATCATCAGAGGGTTCGACCAATGGCGAGCAGTGGCTGGAAATGTACTGGTTGTCGTAGAAATGACGCATGAGGGGCATGGATTCCTCCACGTGCAGGATGACAGCGGCCTGCTGCATCATAGCAACGGCCTGTGAGTTATCGTGAACCCTACAACACATAGACACACACACTCTCATTTTAAATAAAGTCAAGATTTTTTAAAATATGTTTTTGTACATAATCCTCTTAAGAAACACTGGGGCGTTGTGACATTTTTAACATGAAATGAGGCGACAGAATGTTTGGAATTAGTGGATTTTACTGAGACATAAAGCAGTGAAATCAAATGTATCTTCCTGCATTCTGCATGCTGCATTAGTCTGAATGTGAGTGTTGACGTGTACACCTCACAGATCTGCTGCTGCTTCTATCAGCAGTTTATCAAGAAACACAAAGACTTCTGGAACAATGTCCTTCAGACAGACGAGACCAAAGTGTAGATGTGTGTCCAAAATGCACAGCAGCATGTTTACCTCATAGCAGCTGTCAGCTGGTGGTGCACACATGATGATCCAAGCACTGTCCTTAGAAAATGTGGTTTTCACCATTTCTTCCCGCACAAAACGTAAGATAGTATTTAGAAAGTTGTATTTCATGTGTGTTGTTGCTGCATGTGTTTAATTGAGTAATTTCTGTAACTGTGAGTTGCTGCAGCCAATCTTGGCCAGGTCTCCCTTGAAAAAGAGTTTTTAACTCTCAATGGGATCTTCCTGGTTAAATAAAGGTTAAAAAATAAATAAATAAAATAAATAAAATTTACTGGCATATAGTTTGAAGTCTTGAACACAAGCTGAAATGGAGACTCGGCATGGCTGCAGCTCGTAGCTATGTCCGCTTAAATCGGTCACGTGATTCGGGGGTGCGGCGTGTCAACTCCAGCGGGTTAATAACACGCATGTTCATTCCATTTCCAGAGTGTAACAACCAACCGCCTGTGCTGAAATCTGAAAATGTCCATGTACTGATTCAAAATGCTTGTGTGGGACAATTGTCAGCATCGGTTGCTACTGACAACAAGAAATAAAGCCAGTCCGCGCTACGGGCGGAACCACTTTTTAGTGGTGTGTGTGTGTGTGTGTGTGTTTGTGTGGAGGAGAGGAGGTAACACTATGCAATATATTTAGTTTTAGAATTTATAAATTGTGTTAGCATGAAGTGTTAATTGCAGCCAGGCTCAAAGCTCATTATTTTAAATGAACAGCCTTGTGATAAGCAAACTAGGGTGGCTCTAGGACCATGCCACCCCGTAGATCCGCCCCTGCTTCTCTCACCAGCAGCTGTTTATAACAGGCTGAAATGATTATTGACTTCAGCTTGTTGGTGCAACAGTCCCAGTTTCTGCCCCCCAACATAAAGTTTTATCAAACGCAGGTGTGACCTCTGACCTCTGGAAGGTATCAGTCAGCAGGGCAATCAGCAGGTTAACACACAGGATTGAAGACGCTGCCAGAAACGTCCCACACAGCACAGGAGCCATGACATCATCCACAGCCACCATGGCAGCGTACTCGTACTCGTCCACCAGAGTGATCCGATACAGACTGTACAGCAGGCCCAGGACAGACTGCATGCTGGGAACCGAAGCCATCCCTGGGGGGCAGGGTTAACTTACTGTTATCATGATGTCACCAACTACCAACACACCGACCTACTCCCACACACACAGACCTCCGAACATGATCCAGAAGCTGCAGGCATACGGGATGAAGATCTCCGCGTAGAGGAACAGGAAACGCATCACATCCCCAACAATCTTCCCCAACATGACGATGAACGGCCCCATCAGCCTGCAAGTACACGCTAAACTTTATCTGTGCAATAGCCATACGGTTCTGCAGTCGACTGTAGCTTTTCAGTACCTGAAGCCTCTGACGTGTTTCATGAGTCGCAACCACAGGAAGACAATGGTGATGGAGAACATACGCAAACTGATGGTGTTAAGAAGGGTGGACGGTCCAATCACATCGGCCACATGGACGCTGAACGATGCAGTCAGCAGAAAGTACACCAGCCAATCAAAGACATTCCTGAAGTCAGAGTGTTGCTTTGTGATTTAAAAAGTTTTAAATAAAGATTTCATGAATATAACCTCTGAAAAAGCAAATATGCATCTGTATAAACTTCAGAAACACAAACCCATCAGCAGGATCCAACAAGACGACATCTTATTAAAAAAGGAATTAATACAACAGAGAGTTGAGGTTTCTTTAAATTTTGGAAAAGAATAAAGAAACTTTACAAAAGTCAGTTGTGAAAATCCAGTTAATCTAATGAAGAGAAAAAAACTAAAAGACAAGGACTCAAAATGTAAAAGCACACAGCAGCCAAATGGGTGAGAACACTGACGAGCAGACACCTGGAGAGAACAACATGGGCACAAGTGGAGCCGGGGTGCCGTGGGTGTAGTGAAACTTCCTGTTGGTGTAAAGAAGTCACAGAGGGGTTTGTGTGTCACGAGGATCCTAGGGGCTATGTTGTCAATCCTGGTTCAGCTCTAATTTTCTTAAGCTCAATGAGAATAAAACTGAGATCCTCCTTATTGGCACTGAATCCAACCTAGTGAAGGCTAATCATTTCTCTCTCACCATCGATAACGCCACAGTTTTCCCTTCTGCTCAGGTTAAGAGCCTTGGTGTCATCCTATTCACTTTCCTTTAACTCTCCCATCAGTAATCTCAGCTGTTCTGCCTGTTTCCAGCTACACAACATTAACACGTCCTTCTCTTTCCACCCAGCCTGCGTCCATTCTTGTCCACAGTCTCGTTACCTCCCGCCTTGACTGTTGTAATTCTCTCTTTCATGTTCTCCCCCAAAAATCCCTCCATCAGCTTCAACTGGTTCAGGACTCTGCTGCTCGCATTATCACCAGAACCCCTCCTACCAGCACATCACCTGTTCTTCAGGAACTTCACTGGCTCCCTGTGAAACTCCAGATAATATTCAAACTTCTTCTGCTCACCTTCAAGGCCTTTCATAACCTCGCACCTCCTTACCTTTCTAACCTGTTATGCACTACCTTTTCTGCCCGCTCACTTCGATCTTCTTCTTCTATCCAGCTTGCTGTGCCTTCCTTCCTCCTCACCACCACAGCAGAGCTGCTCTGCTCTCAGGTTGTGGAGCTCTCTGCCCCCACATATAAGAAACATCGCTTCTCTCCCACAGTTTAAATCTCAACTCAAAACCCATCTGTTCAAATCTGCGAGTTCACTGTGAACCCACTGTTTGTTAATGTTATCTTGTGCTTTTGCTTGATTGTTCTTCATTTTGTCTTTGTTCTATTATGTGTTTTATTCTATTGTTAAGTTTCCTTGGGTGTCTTGAAAGGCGCTTCATAAATAAAATTTATTATTATCATTATAAATTTATTGAGTGGGACTTATTTTTCCCACTCAGTCCTTCTTTGCCTGGACCAGGTATGTATGTTGGGGTTTCTCCCAGTGGATGAGAGGATTTCTTCCCTGTGCCTTTGGGCTGGGGAACGGGTCCTGACTGTTGTCTGCACTTATGCGCCAAATGATGGTTTAGCCTTATTGGTGTCCCTGAGTGCTCCACCTGGGACTCTATTGTCCTACTGGAAGACTTCAACACTCATGTGGTCAGTGAGACCTGGAGGGGCGTGACTGGGAGGAATGGCCTCTGAACCAGAGCAGGGTTTTGTTGTTGGATTTCTGTTTGTCCATAACAAATACCATGTTCGAAGGGTGTCCCTTAGTGCACTGCTGTTCACCCTGCTAACACATGACTGCACAGTACAGCTCAAATCACATCATCAAGTTTGCAGATGACACAACAGTGGTGGGTCTCATCACCAACAATGATGAGTCTGAATACAGAGAGGAGGTACAACACCTGGTGGACTGGTATCAGAATAACAACCTGTCTCTAAATGCTCAGAAGACTAAAGAGATGGTTGTTAACTTCAGGAAGAGCTCAATGGTCCA